TTGTTTGTTATTATATATATATATATATATATATATATATATATGAAATATGATTATAAATTAACGAGTTACATCATTCGATATAATTAAAATTCCTTTTACTTTTTTGGCTTGATTTTAATTATATATGAAGATTATAATATATATGAAGCAATTATCAATCAATATAAGAAATTTGTATTACAATCTTAAATTTTTAGTTTTCATCTAAATGAATTTTATATTCATAATTTAATATTTTTATTCCTTATCATAAATAATGTTAAATGAGATCTGAAAATAAATTAGAATAGAATTAGAAAATAATTATTTAATTAAAATATTTTTATTTTTAAATGAATTATGAAAGAATAAAAAATATTTTTTATTTTGTTTTTGATATATAAAATATAAAAAAATTTTAAATTGTAAATAAAGTTATATAATTAAAATAATAAAATTGTAAAATCAAATTAGTTAATAGAATGTTAAATTGATTCAAATCTAATAACTTCAAATTTAATAATTTATTATTAAAATTATATATAATGAAATTATATAATAAAATTTATATTATTTATAAAATAACTTTAAATATTTTGATTATGTTACGAATTAAATTTTCAATTATAAAATATTATTAAAAATGATTCAATTATCTTTAATCTTCTTAAATTTATACAAAGTATATATGTAAATAGAATGTATATTTGAAATTTTAGATCTATCTTGTTTTTCTTATAATTTCCGATACATATCATGTTATATTTTCTTCCTATTATAAATATTAATAAATTAATATGAAGAAATTAAAATAAATAATTTATAATATTATATTGTAAGATTTATAAACTGTACGTAAATTTATAAATTTCGATAATAAATGATAATATTTCTAAAATAAATTTAATTATATATTATTCAATAGTAGTAATTCAAATATTCTCAAATTTCGCGGTATTGATGAAAAGACAAGCAGATAAGTCATTTACTTGCTTAATCATATGATTATGACAGTATAAGTTTGCGATGAACATGTTATTTTCATAATATTATATTTATATAAATTTGTCTTTATTATATCTAATTAAAAAATTTTTTAATAATTTAATAAGGAAGGAATAGGAGATAAAAATTGATTATTTAATAGGAATAAAAACTTTCTTATTTGTGCAAATAACCTTACATATAGTATACATTATAACATCACAAACATTATGAGTATAAAGAAAATTAAATAAATGAAAGATTTCCTATAAATTATATATTTATATCAAACTTTAATACAAAAAATTTATTGAATAATAAAAGAATTTCCTAATAAGAAGTTTTTATATTAAAATTCTATTTGATGTTAAAGGTTAATTAAAATATAAAATAAATATTTTTCGTGTGTTAAAATTGTATACAAAACAATAATCAATAAAAAAAAATGTTCAAATTTTTGGTATATTTTAATATCTTATTTTTTAAAATAATAACATTATTATTTAATAAAAATACAAAAATGTGTTTTTTAGATAACCTTAGGCATTGGAATTTATGCTGGTATATATATAAGTCAGAATTATGAGGTATATTTTAAGATCATTTCTTATTTTGAACTAATTTTTTCAATAATTTAATGATACTCATTTTATGATAAAATTTACATTAATATTTTTAAATGTAAATTTATTTCAGATACCACGTGTAGATGATCCTAATAAGATAATAGAACGAATAAAAGAATTTGCAGATGAATATAAAAAAAAATAACAATTTATTAAATAATAGTAATATGTTTATGGAATATATTTCAATGCATGCAGTTTTATTATATTATTATATTGTTGTACTTTTTATTATTATATGCATATGTATATAAACATGAAATATTTTGTGATTTGATTTTAATAAAACATTTTGTGTAATGTGTGAATGTTTTGATAACTTATAGATAAAATAAAATGTATCTAAATATATAACAATTCATTTTAAATGTACGTATTATATTTTTAAATAATTATATCTTATGTCATACATATATAAATCCACCACCTGAATATTCCAACCGTGCTTGAGGTTCTACAAATGCCAACCAATCAGATGCATGTGTTGGGAGTAATCCCATTGATTGACATTTATATAATGCAAGTGCAATGTTTACTAATTGTCCTAAAAAGTATACAAACTTTTGTCCGAAAGCATGTGTTCCTTCTATTACTTTAAATGACTAAAAAAAAAAAAATATTTTAAATATTAGCATAAAACTTATTATTTGTTAATTCATTTTTCTTTAGTTGTAAATATTTTTCATTAAAACCTCTATTCGAATTATAAATAACTTGATATACTTACTTTGCTGAAGAGTAAATAATGCTTTCACTGGTCTAATAATTAACATACCAACCATCATAATAGGAAATATTGAAATAGAATTACCCGCCATATACATTATAAATAAATTCATTGGGACTTGTTTAAGAGGACCTAAAGCTAAATCCCATGATTTTTTAATTATTAAATGATTAGAATCTGATTCTCTAATTGAATCAGCAGCATGAAATAGAGCAACAGCAGGTGTATAACCTGGTGGTGAAGCAATATCTGCATTTTTTTCTTGTTTATTCCTACAAAAAAAAATATATTTTAAATTATACAACTTTTTTTAAAAAAATAATATAAAATATTATATTATAACCTTTATCATTTAATTATGTAAACTATAGAAAAATAACAATTTTTATTGACATGTTCATTTTTTACAATCTAAATTATATACATATATATATAAACTTATCAAAAATTCTAATAATCATAATTATTAATTAATTAAGAGAATTTATATTGTATGTGTTAAAAATATAACTTGAATGATAAGGTTACCGACTTGTGAGCAAAATCTAAAGCCCATTTTGATCGTTTTGTATTTTGCTTAACTGCTGTCATTATCGTTAAATATTCTGAATTTATTATATTATTATTATAAATTTTTTCAAGTACTATGACAGCATATATATATAAACGTGTACACAGGCATTTACACTATACAATCATGACGTACAACATCAATCAAATGCTTAAATTCATAAAAAATTAATTACATCAATAAAACAAAATTAGAAATATAAATATAAATATTTGACATTTAAATTTAAAATATATAACAATGAAAAATAAAATAAATTAAAAAAAAATTTTTTTAAATATAATAATTTAATAATTTTAACGAAATTATAATTAAAAGTTTTTATAATAGATAAAAACCATATGTTTCAATATATTTAATATTTAAAACAATAGAACTAAAATAATTTATATTTTAAATATTTAATTAAGCAAAGTTACGCGCGAAAGTATATATATAAAATTTAAATTCAAATTATATTATGTATATATATATATATTATAATTTATATCATACATAATATATATAATAAATTTTCTAATTCTTTCTTTAGAAATAAATTGAATATAAAATATAGGAATATTATAATATATAATATAATATCAAAAATAAGTATAAACAAGAAGTATAACAAATAATAGAAAAAGATAAAAATGAGAATCATTTCCAGAATTCCGCAAATCAAATATATGAAGAGAGGACAAATAGATAGGAAAAAGATAAAATAAGAATTGACTATTAGCACTATCTACTGACTAAACATTTCTTTAGAAATGAGATAAAATAGAATAAGAATTAAATATAAGTACTATCTCTTAATTGTTTTTAATAATTTTTTAAAAAATTATTTTTGATATTCAAAATATGGCTCTAATAATCAATTCTTATTCTATTTCTATCCTCTCGCTATTTTTACATGTTTTATTTGTGACACTGAAAATAGCACTAATTTCAATATTTTTATTCTATTTCTATTTTTTTTCCATTATTTATTTTCATTATCTATATTTTATACTCTACTTCTTTTGTTAAATTATTTTTATTTGTTATTTAATAAAATATAGCAGTGTAACTGTGATTAATAATATTTTAATTTTTTTCTCTTTTATCTATATAATATTTTATATTCGAAATGGAAAAATGTAATACAGAAAAAGGCCTTTTAGTATTAAATCATGATGATCCTAACAAGAAACAATTTGTAAGATTACTTTATTAATAAATCAATTTCATTTTTTATATGTATTTTATTTTTATGCATATATTTTATTCTAATTTTTGTATAAAATATATTGGTATTATGAATTTAAAATTTTAAAAAAAGAATTATAAAATATTATATATTTTCCATTTTGTATTTGTCTTATAATATTTTATATTTATTTTTATTATTAGTAATTTAATTTTAATGATGTTATAATTTATTATTTATAGAAAAATTATAAAAATTCAAAAAATAAAACGTATAATATTAAAGAATGTTTTATGGAATATTCTTTAGAAGATAAAATTGAAGCTTTAAAAAATATGCTTGATTATAATGAAAAATATGTACAAAAATTACCATCACATATAACTGATATATGTAATATTAAAGAAATAATTGGTGTAAGATTTGAATCTATTAAAAAATTTATTTTTGTTATTACTTATTATTTTTACAATTATATTTTTTTCATGTTTATATATTCTTTTTGTTTTAATGAAAACAATAATAAAAATATTATTGTATAAATAAATAATATTTAAATATAATTTATATATTTTATTAATTCTTAAGGTAAAAGAATGTATACAACCAGTTCAAGAGACATCATTTCAGACAATTATTTCTGAATTAAGAAATACTGTAATGAATAGTTATTGGAACAAAGAAGTTGGTAAAACACGTTATCAAATTCCATATCTTCCAATGGGTATGAATCCATTAGAAGTGACTTTTGGAAAAAAAATTAATCTGGTATAAATTATCAAACATTGTATTTGTAATAATGAAAAAAAATAATATAATAGTTATAGTATAAAATTATTTATCTTATAATGTTTATAAAATACATTGATATTTTTTATTAATATTAAAAGAAAGTATAGCTGAACTTCTTAAAGAAAAAATAATAGAAAGTGATATTCCAGAGCAAGATATTATTGAAATGTATAAGAAAAGTCATAATAGATATTTACCTGCAGAACAAATTAAAAGACAGTATGAAGTAGTTAAATAATTAAATGGCAATTAAGATTATAAATTATAAATTTCTAATATATAAAGATTTATTATAAAATTATATTTTTAGTTACAAAAAACCATTTGATCAAAATTTATGTTTTGGAAAATCATATAATGCTAATGTCAGAGGTATGCGATTAAAAAAACTTCTAACATGGATTGATGCAGATCCTAATACAATTGCAAATTCTAATTTTGCAGAACCTTCAAATTCTTATATTGATGAAGTAAAGTATTAAATACTATTATTAAAATGAGGCTATTGCTATAAGATGATATTATAATTTACATAAGAATTTATAAAAAAAATAGAAAACAATTAAATTTTTATTTAAATTAAAAATAATTGTTGTAAAATATAAGCTACATATATATATGAAAATATTATATAAATATTGATTCTCAACAAAGTAATATAAAAATTCTTGCATTCAAGTTATTAAATTTTTTTAATCATTTGAACTTTTTTAGAAATTTAAAGAATTTATACATGAAATGAGACATGGTAAAGTTAATGACAAAAAAGATGTATCTGAGAAATTAAACATTTTAAGTGATTGTCCTATAAATAATGAAGTTATAACACAACAAAATTACTTGCAATATATAAATAGTTTACGTCTGAAATTCAAAAAACAAGTTCCAGAAATTCCATATTTAGATATTTATGAAGATTTAATATGCCTTGATAAAGTATTATTATTTTATTTTCTTATATTATACATATATATAAAATTAAAAACTTAGAAAATATAACTTCTATTCATTAAAATGATTTTAAATATTATTATATTTAGGATTATACAGGTATTTTGCCAGAAGATAAAGTTTTTTCTATCTTAGCTAAATATAAAATATATATAAATAAAATATTTTTAATACCTTTATTGGATCTTCTTCAAATACATAAGGAAAAAAATATAAAATATGAAGAATTATTAAATCTTTTAAATTGGAAATATGATTTTCCCACATTACCAAAAATAGAAAGTAAACTTTTATGTTTTAACTTTATTATTTAAATTATAGAGTTAAAAATTATATGATATATATATAATAAATAATGAATAAATATATATTTATTTAATAATATTATATCATATTTCTAAATCATTATTAGCATCATTAATCATATTTATCATATTTCTAATATCATTATTTGTACCTAAAATGACAATTTTTTTTAGAGATTCCTTTGGAATGTCAATATTATAGCACTGAATATAATACAACAATAGGAAAGATAGACAGAATAGATACTACAAGTTAGTGGATTCTTTATTCTATTTTATTATCAAATTTATTTTTATAACATGTTAGTTTTTTATTACATTTTGCTAATATTATTAAAATAGAAGATAGTATTAGTATTATAATAGAGATATTCATATTATTTAAGATATATATATATATATATATATATTAATAATAATAATTTATTTTGTCAATATAAAATTATTATTTTATTGCTTACAAATAGTATATTTCATTGTTTTTACAGATATCCCAACAGCAGGAATTTATAAAGATTTGGATAAATCTACTGCTTACAGTCTTATACATCCAAATATTTTTACAAAACATGGTCTTAGCTGCACAGATCTCTCTAAAGTAAATTTAAATATATATTTATATAATATTTTGAAATTAAAAATTCTATATATAATTATATATATAATTTATATATAATATAAATATATGTATTGTTAATTAAATTTCAATTAGCTTCGAAATAAAGAAGAAATAAGAAGTATTTTTGAAGCTATTGGAATTCAATTTCCTAATAATAGTTTTGATTTATTATGGGAAAAAGGATTAAAAAAAAGTTGCACAGATAATGTATCTGTAGAAATTTTTGTAAACTTACTTGATCAATATGATGATATAATTAATAACAAAATTAATTAAATACAAAATATCTTTAGAATTCAGATATTAATAATACATATTTATATAAATATATGCAATTAAAATATATTTAAATATTTACTTACATTTTAATATTTTTATACATTTCAAGTACAAAATTTTCAATATATATATGAAAATATAAATTCTTTATGAAATTATATACTGTATGAAATATATACTGTACAATAAAATTAAAATTTATTATATTATTTTTAACAAAAAATATTTATGTAAAGAACTTAATTAAAATTAATTATATACATATATAAATATGATTTGTATTAAATACTAATATTGTGGTTTTAAAAATTTTGGTTTTTTTGGTAATGGTTCATGATTATTATTATGTTTTTGTAATGATTTTTCATATTTATGTTCATTTTTTGTTATTTTTCTATAAGTTTTCCAACTTTTTGCCATTTGCTCATCTGAAATATCTGTTTCTTTTTGTATTTCCATTTTAATATTTTCATTATTTTGTTCTGTTTCCATTAATTTTTCTATTTCAGGATTCATTCCTTGAAAACTTACTCTACCATCAATTAACTTTTCACAGAAAACATAACTGGGTTCAATGATAAATCTTTCTCTTAAAAATAAAAAAATATATATTTTTATATTAAAAATTGGATATTCACAAATTAAAAATATCCAATTAATAATAAAATAATTAAACTTATTATATATAAAAATTGAAAAAAACTTACGAATCTTTCTTCATACGTTTTGTTAATTCATTTCCAAAATATTCTTCTCCCTCTTCTTGAAATTGTTGTTTCTCCACTTTTTCTTTAGTACGTTTCATAAACTATTAAATTTATATATAGAATAAAAAATTTCATACATGATTTTGTATAATATCATAATATGAGAAAAATAATTCTTTAACTTACTTTCATTTCTAAAATACTTTTTGATAACTTTGCTTTATTAACATCCATTTTTTTTATTTTTTAAGAAATAAAACAAATGAAATATATAACGTAATTATTTATATTATTTTTAAATAAAAATATAATTAACAAATATGATTAATATTTATATCTTTCTCTAT